GCCCCAGTCCACTAAAACAAAAAAAAAAAAAAAAAAAAAAAAACTCTCCAAAAAAAAAAAGACTCAAACTTGTTAAATGGATGTGCAGGTATTATCCTCTTGCTCAATGAGGAAACTGAAGGTTCCTGAGATTGAGTTGTCTCGCTCAGGTCACATAGTTTAAGGGAGACAGAAATAGACTTTTTTCTTTCTCAGCATTCTATTTTTGGTGTCATCCTGTCTCTCAAGATAAAGGCATGAGGGGAATCCAAAGGAGATCATTCTGACCTAAAACTTGTTTTTTTTTGGGGGGGGGAGAGGTTTTTTTTTGCTATAGGGCGCATAAGCTCGCCAGACAGAGAGAGACATAGAGACAGAAAGCGAGAAATCACCCCCCAGGGGGGATGGTCACGCCGCAATCCCTTCTCTTCCATTCTCCTCTCGGGATCTTCGGCACGCATGCACATGCACCCAGTGTGAGATTTAAGCCACTGGGTCTGAGACGCGAACCGCAGTCGACTACGTGGGAGTCCAGCGACATAGCCATTACGCTAACTGCTGGTTCCCTGACCTAAAACTTCTTTATGGTATTTTGTTGGCACCCAGAGTCTGGTAGGGGTAACTTCAGACACTGGTGAAGGAGTGGTGACTCTAGGGCAGTGTCCAGGGCCAGTTGGAAAGATTTGTCACCATCACATTCCTAAACTTTGAGACTCAGAAATGTGTATCTAAAGAAGCATCCTCCAGTTGGATTCCTGATGCACACAGAATTTGAGAATCACTGCTACAGGATATGTGGCAGATCATGGAGGGCAGAAAACGATGGAATTGAAACACACTACAACAGATGTTATAGTAGTGATCCCAACGAGATTGTAAGCACCATGAGAACAGGTACTATCTGTCTTCTCCATCATTTTATTTCCAGCACTTCTAACAACACCTGTCACACAGAAGATGCTAAATAGATCGCTATTAAATATAATTACAGATCCCATAACTAGATGCTTTGTATTCATTTTCTTCCCTTAAATGCCTAGCACATAGCAAATGCCCAATGAACAATGGTTGATTAGAATCACTAAGAGAGCTAGACAAGGTGGTTGAGGAGGAGGGCGTGCTGGGAGGAGAACTTGGCCTGACATGCACTCTGCACCTCAGGAAAGCTCTTGCAC